TCGTGTGATTCCTTGGTATACAAAGTAAAAACAAGCAACGAAGTACATCGTTGAGTTACAAATATCAAAGTCCATTGCCTTTGTTCATTATTTTGTTTAGGATATCAAATATTCGACATTTATTTCATGGTCATTAAAAGACTCAAAGATTATCAAGACAAGTTCATCATTCATTGATTTCTACCATCTTTCATTCAAGATTCAAGTCTCATTCACGGATTCAACGTTTAAAATCTTGATTCACAATACAAAAAATTCATTCAATTTAAGCTCAATACAAAGAAACATTTACATTCATTACAAAATACAAATTCAATTGCCATTACATACATAATAAAATTCATACAAAAAAAATACATATACAAGTTCATCAATTTCAGAAAGCCTATTATCCAAAACATAATTCAGCTTCAAGCCAATTTCCAAAACCTTATGCCTTGCTGTCCAATTTGTCCAAACCAGTGTTGTTGCTAAAACCCTCTGCAAAACAATCCAAAAAAGGAACAAAAACTGTTGTTGTCCGTAAATCTGCACAACTGCTGTCCAAACCTGCATATCATTCCAAATAATTTGCACCAAATAAACAACTCAAATCCTGCATCAGAAAGAAAAAATCAGCATACCATATTTGTCCAAGACTCACCAATTTTCCCCCCAAAATTCATTCTGATTCACTATACAAAAAGAGCAATACATAGATTAGTGGAGAGGGGGTAAAATTCAAAAAAAAAGATACAGTACAAAAATTCCAACAAGAAAAAGAAATTGCAAGAGAAAAAATAGCAGAGAAAAATCTCAGAAGAAATTTCGTAGAAGCCAAAAATAATAGAATCTCTGCTAGACCTCTATTCACAAAATCCTCCAAAACCTTCTGTTCCACCAAACCAGCTTCAAGATACACTTCAAAACCCAAATGCACCAACTCCCTTAGCTTCAAAAACAACAGTTTTTGCAACTGCAGTAACAACAACAGTACATCTACCTCAACAGTACTGCACACGCGTGAAGTTGAAGAAGAAGAAATCTTAGAAGGAATCGTGAGTAACATAACAAAGACGAAGCAGCTTAAAAAGAGAAATAGATCAAAAAAAGAAACATACCAGGTCTCTTTTACTGTAGCTCATACTATTTCATTGCTGTTTATTTTCATACCTGCATCCAATTTTGATTTCAGTCGCCAGATTGTTGTTAGTTGTTGTCATTGAGAGAATTTAAACTGTGATTTTGCATCTTTTATCACAACTCACCTGTACCGATAGTAACCAGCTTTAAGCAGCCTGTCTGAATATGACTCCTTCTTCTCAAATGTAACGAAAACCCTATCCTTCAACTCTGATCCATTCTGCCGCCTCCGTTCAAAACAAACTCATAGCGCCGCCCTTCTCACCTCCATCTCCTGACTTCAAATTCTTCTCGTCTTCATGTACTCAATTTCAACAATCTACAAGAACATCAACAAGCATCGATTCATGAACACAACAAAAACAGTGAATCTGAATAAAAAAGGAAATGGAAGGAACTCGAAGCTTAGTGAAGTTGAAGTTGAATCGAAGCCGAGGTAGATCGGAGCGCCACTTGCAGAAGGAGTCGAAACGGCGAAGCAAAGCGCAGAAGGTTGATATTCGGAACAAAGATGGCGGTGTGCGATGCTGAGAAATTCACAACGGTGGAGATGAGAGTAAGCGCTTGGCTACGACGGCGCTATGACCTTGTACGACGGCGGCGAGTATTGAAGAAGAAGAGTGTGCCATCGGAGAATTTGAACCATTCCAGTTTATGAATCCTATATCCTTTCACCTTATGTTGTGTTTCATTTTGCTGATAATTTATCTTTAGCCTATTTTTATTTATTTATTTTTTTATCAAACATTATGCTGAAAAAAAGAGTTCATGGTGATAATGAAGGGCCATGGAACAAATCTGTTGGACTTGGGCTGACCGTACCACCCCCTTTCTTGGGCCTGCATTCTTTTTGGTAGCTTCATAAATCAACATATAATTTAGAATTAAGTTTTAATATTTGTTTTTACAATAATCATAAAAATATTATAGCATTATTTTCTTTTATTTATTTGATAAAAAATCATAAAAAATGTTTAGAACTTAATTTCTTTGTTTTTTTGTTTGATTACTTGGTTACATGTTCGCTTAGGTGATTCCCCTGAATCGATTAAATTCATGTTGATCTTTTCATGTTGAATTAGGTATTAAGATCAAACTTTGTATGATAACTTTAGGATAGAATTTCCCTTTTACACTCAACATTAGGTCCATCTTTGTATGACAACAATCATGTTTTTTAGTCTCCCCCTTATACTCTTTCTTCTTTTGTAAATTAAAACAAAACTTCTTTTTTAATAAAAAAAATCCAAAACACTTAATCATTACTTGAATTTATTTTAAAACCCGCAAAACACTCAACAAATTAAAACTCCCCCAAAGGGCATGTCATCTCCGTTCTACCGCGATACCGGCCGTGCCTATTGCTAGAATGCGTGCGTTAATGTCTCCCACTAAAAAACACAAACAAACCAATCATTTTCTAGAGGAACTACGGTGTTCTGATTCCTTCATTGGATATGTAGGCAAAGTGTCGCGAAACCCTCACGAACGCAATAATAAAAAACCATCCATTTTCCTTTAAGCAAGCATAGTTGTAGATAAATACACCCTTTAAGACAAATAAACAAAATGGATCTCATTGAGTACAACGGATGCGAGGGGTGCTAATACCTTCCCCTCGCATAACCGACTCCCTTACCCTTTCTCTTGGTCGCAAGACCATCTTATCCATCCCCTTGTGGTTTTATCGATATTTCCCTTTCCTTCGGGATAAATAAAGTTTGGTGACGGCTTTGTGTTTTCTGCCGGTATCCTCAGTGGGCTTCTCTCATCCAAAGCCAATTATTAGATATCATTCATTTTCCCTTCATCCAAAGCAAATGATTTGATGTCGCAGTTTTCTTTCGTTCGAAGCCAATGATTGAATTGCATGAACTTGTTTCTCTTCATCTAAAGCCAATGATTAGATGTTGCAGTCGTTCTTTGTCCAAAGTCAATGTTTTAATGTCATGAATTTTCTTCTCTTTATCCAAAGCAAATCATTGGATGTCATGGTCCCCTTTCATAGTTTTGTTGTTATCCAAAGCCAACAATTGGATGTATTACCCCCAATATATTGTTTTTCACCCTCCAATGCCAAAATTGAATGTCATTAATCTCTTTGTGTTTACCCAGTGTGTCCTCCTACATAATATCATTCAACTACCACAAATTTCCAGTTTTGAGTCTTTCCAATAATTCCCACAGAGTCTATCTCGTATCATATATCATTCAAATATTTCAGCCCCAAATTTATTTCCAGAAGAAAACTGTAGTTATTGTAAAGCTTGTATGCATATTTATGTTAATTCATATTACAAGGATATGCATGAGACTATTACTCAAAACAATGCTAATGGCATTGCCACATCTAAGCCGGAAGCACTATGGAATAATGATGATAAGAAAAATTCATCAAATCTCATTAACTGTTTGAACGCACTTGGTATACCTATTTCTAATGTAATTTTTACTAAAAAAAGTTTTGAGATGTCTTATTAGGAATTAGCAACCGAAGGTCACCGCGATCAAGGAAGCTAATGATCTTACAAAACTTGATCTCATTACATTGATTGGTAAGTTTTAAGAACATGAGCAATAACTTACTTGCTTGGACAAGCATGAGAAAAAGCGTGAGAATGTTGTACCCCAAATTTTATCATGAGTTTTTCTCATTCGCATTTTTTAATTTGAGTTGTTATATTTTTGTGCGCATTTTCATTGTTTTATCTCAATTTCAATATTTGTATGATTCTCTCTTAAGTTTTATTTCTTAGTCTTTATTTTATGATTAAAAAATAGTTATAAAAAAATTGATTTATTTTGTTTTTATTTAAATTTAATTTTTATTTATTAAAAATATCTATCTAAAGGTTGTTTTGGTCATTGGCTGAAACCTAAAAGGATAAGATGGTTTTTGATTGGTGATAAAGGGGGGGGGGGGGGGGGGGGGTGGATCGATAAAAGAAAGGGAGGAAAGTATAAGGAAAAAACAAAAACTTTTGTTCATCGTTACGCACTCTCTTCTCTCACATAGTCACATATCATACCACCACCGTATCATACTCCTTTCATTTTTCCTCTTCTACTCACAGTAAACCTCGCTTCTCCCAATAAACCACAATCATCTACCTCTATATACCCTCCGCCTTTGTTTCATGAAACCCCATCATTCTCCGCCCTCTACCCTCCTCCTGTTACATCCTCCGTAACAACCTTCAATCAACCGGAACTTAAGTCCCTATGTATCTCTGTCGTAAATCAACAACATATCCATCCGCTACAAACTCCCTCTGTTCAGAAACCGTGCAACATCATCAACAATCCAAACCTCCGGTCTTCCTCTGCACATCAATCTGTTTCTTCTCAATCACCATCAGTCATCCGCCTGTTACTTCATCGCAAACATCACCAACCACCCAAACTGTCGGTCTTCTGCTACACATCACTCTATTTCGCTTGTCACTCATTTTTACGCGCATTTGCATTTATTATTGATTTAAATTTGCATCCATATATATATATATATATATATATATATATATATATATATATATATATATATATATATATATATATATATATATATATAAATGTAGTTTTATTTAGTTTTCTTATTTTTTATCATTTCATCAAAATATTAAAAAATTGATTACAAAAATATGTGTTTCTTTTATTTATTTTATTTTTCTTTTTAATTTACCTTTTAAGTTTAAATTTAGTGTTAGTTTTAATTTTATAATATATATAAGGGAAAAAGAATTTGTTTATTTTGTTTAGATTTAATATCCTAAATAAATATCCAAGGAGGGACTATTTGGTCATTGGTCGATACCTAATTTTATGTGGATAAGGTTTTTGGGTTATAAGAAGATAAAGGGTATCATATGGAGGGGGATGGAGACAAAAGAGTAAAAGTTATGCCTCTATATTTTTGGTAATCTTCATCGTTTCTTCTAAGAAAACACTTTCTCCACCATTCAATAACTTTTGGTACCTCACCGCTCCATACACCCACCATCATCATCAACATCCCACTTCCATTTATCTTCCGACTACCCAACTGAACAACCATAAAGCCGTTTTCACCGAGCCACTGCTATCTCCCTTCCGTCATCGCTACCAACACCAAAATCGATACTCCCTCCGTAAAGACCTATGTCCTTCATCTCTAGATCGCTCTTCCGCTCACCTCAATGTCACTGTTTGCACCACCATCAGACGGTCTCCAACCAACATAACCCTTCATCTTCATCTGTCACTACATGCACCCTCTGATTCCAGCCTTCCATGTTCTTCTACATCATCAATCCATTATGCTCCCTCCGCCGGATTCTCTATAACGCTCACACGACACCTTTTCCTCCAACCAAACATTATCCAGCAGCTCACCCTGTTCATCTTCATCGGCGTCTTCACCAGTAGTTCTCGCAACAGAACTGTCTATTTCCCTCTGTTCAAGCACAACTCAAACTTTGTTCGCTCAAAACTGCACCCTCCGTCGTAATTCATAGCTCTCGATAACGTCGCTTCAATTTGGTAAATTCGGTACCCTGTTATTTGGTTCTATAATTGTGATGTTGTTGATTATTTGTTTAGTTGATTGAGTTGTGTGATATTTGTGTTAATTATGTTGAAACAATGTGATAATTATTAGCTTGATTGTGAGATGTTTGTTGTTGAGCGTTATTAAGTTTGTTCATGGCTTCCCGAACAAAGGTTTAGGCGTTTAGATCTTATGTTAAGCTCAATTTTTCATATCTTGAATTCGTATTGAGTAAGAGCATGAATTTTTGGTTCTTCTTCTCCTTTTTGTGGTTTGAAATTCCTCTTTAATTCACTTGTTTGTTTTTGTTGAAAAATTGGAAGAAGAAGACCTTCTTTCAATCTTTTGTTCTTATGTTGAGTGAAGCTTAAATGTTGTCATGTTGTTTGAGATAATTTGAAGGAGATTTGGTTATGTTTGTTGAACAATTCGATTGGAATTCTAAAGTTTATTTCGGGTGGCATTACTTTGTTGTTTCCATTTATATTAAATGTGTTTGAGGTGATCTTTTCGAGCCTTGTTTTATATATGTAATGGCTGCCTCAGTTTTGGTTTATGCGGGTAAAACTTGTTTTTTATGTTGGAAATTGAGCAATAACTTGAGTTGTTGATTCCGATTTCCGTTGTGGATTGAGATCATGGTTATCATTGAGTTTACTTGAATTTGGACATGTTTGAAATGATAGTTGCAATGCTGATTTTTGTCATTTACATTAAATAATAACTTAAGACTTTGTTTCAATGTTTTGTTCTTATGTAGAGTGAAGCTTAAATGTTATCATGTTGTTTGAGATAATTTGAAGGAGATTTGGTTTTGTTTGTTGAATAATTCGATTGGAATTCTAAAGTTTAATTCGGGTGGCATTACTTTGTTGTTTCCATTTGTATTAAATGTGCTTGAGGTGATCTTTTCGAGCCTTGTTTTATATATGTAATGGCTGCCCCGGTTTTGGTTTATACGAGTAAAACTTTTCTTTTATGTTGGAAATTGAGCAATAACTTAATTTGTTGATTCCGATTTCCATTTTGGATTGAGATCATGGTTATCATTGAGTTTACTTGAATTTGGACATGTTTGAAATGATAGTTTCAATGCTGATTTTTGCCATTTGTATTGAATAATAACTTGTTTTATTGGTTCTTGATCGAGAAATATTCATTTGTTCATACAATTTGATTCAAGTTTCATTTGGTTTATAATTTATCTTGTGATTACTAACTTGTCTAATGTTTGTAAAGGCTTTCAAGATAGCTCATATGTTCACTTCATCTTGACACCAGTTTGTTGCTTTTAGTTAATTAACTAAAATTCGATTTAGTTATTTAATTTCGTTATTAAAAATTAATTAGTTTTGGTTAATTAATTTTTCTTAACTTAATTAATTAACTTAATCACCTTTTAAGTTAATTAATTAAGCATCCATTTCATATTTCATTTTTTTCATTTAGCTCTGATGCAGGTTCCTAATCGACTCGGAGTTGATTCTTTATTTCATATGAGATGTTCGGATTATTTCTATGTTATCCTAGTTTTGTCTGTTTGTTGGTAACTTCATCCGATACATAGCTTTATCCGACACCTCGCGCCTATTTGATCCCTCGGGTTTATCTACACTTTCTTCGTCTGTGATTTATTTTCACTATGTTGCACTTTTTCCTTGTGATTTATTTTCACTCGATCACTGGTATACTCTTGACTTATTCTTTGCTTATGGTTGTAATCCAAAGGGATGGGAACGATGTATTGACTTTATTATGCCAATCATCGGTTTCTTGTTTGGTCAGACATTCTTTACATATTCTTTTGCTTTCTTGTACATAGGAGTCTCTTCATCTCCTCCCATTCTTTAATTTTCAAAATCTTCTCACCTTTTTTAAAGCCTTCTTGTTTTCAATAAATTTGAACCGCTTTCATAATAAACCTCGACCATGTCGAGTGACTTTTCAAACTTCTTTTCTTCTTCAAACTTCTCAAAACACTTAATAAATAATGAGGAGAACCATAATTTCATGAGCCTTAAGAAGTAGAGAATGATGAGTGGGTCAATTTCTGAAGCTTGTCCTTCATTCCATTCATAGTTTTTTGTGCGGTTCAAATCACAAATTTTTTCAAACTAACAAAACATGTAACCTCATTCAAACCTTTTTACATTTTAAATTCTTTTTCAAGATTAGACATGATTCATTTATAATCAAGATGTTCTTCCTTTATCCCCATGGTTGTCTATTTTTCCACTTGAGTACTAGATGTATTCTCAAATCCTTCCTCATGTTGGTACATAGTCCTCCTTTCTCATACTTTGTGGGCGATTATACGAGTCTTCTCATTAAAAATAGAAACTTGTCTCTTCATTTAAAATCAATTAACAAACCAAGTTTTGTTATTTTCTAGTCGAACTATAATGCTCTGACTTTCCCATTGCACGAAGGAGTACGTAGTAGGGATGTCAATGGGGCGGGGCGGGGCCGGGGGGACACTTCCCCATCTTTTTCCCCGCCATCAAATTCATTCCCCGTCCCCGATCTCCGTCACGGGAGAATTTCTATCCCCATCCTCGTTCCCCGCGGATCCCCGTTCCCCGCGGGGATCTCCATAGATCCTACATTTATTCATTAATATTTTATTTTTTTAAAATGTTTATATTTTCTATAAAAATAAAAAGCACAAAGAATTCACATATTTATTATGTTATTAAAAAATACTAGTATTTGACATTTATTATTTTTTATTAAAAATACTAATGGAACACAAAATAATAATATTTTTTTTATAAATTTTTATAAAATGCTATAAAATTCAACAAAATGAACTATAATACTTTTTAAAGTAACAATATGCCTAAACAACTAAAAAAATCCAACAACATAATTATGCTTAAAAAACTATATTTCATCAAAACTAATAAGGGATAATTATAAAATTTAGCATCATGAGTATGCTTGAAAAGCTAAAAAATACTTCATAATAGGTCAACTAAAAGCAAAAGTCAACATATCTCTATTTGCTCAATTGATAACACACGTAAAGTAGAAATATCAAAATACTTAAAACAAAGTTACATATAAATAAACTAAAATATTAAGCAAAATATCTAAACAAGTAATGATCAATCATGTCTCTCTTTCCAACTTCTCCTTGCAAGGTCTTCTTCCTCATTCCACAATTAGATATGACTTTCTTTTTCCTACGAAAAGTAAACAATCAATAATTATATTTACTTAAAAAAATACTTTAAAAACTAAAAGGTAATCAACACTAATATGTAAATTACCTTATAATAGGCGAGGCGGGGTCCCCGCGGGGCGGGGGGTGTATTCCCCGTCCCCGTCCCCGAAATGCTCTCGGGGGAATTTTTCTCCCCATCCCCGCCCCCACGGGGGAAAATTCCCCATCTTTGGGGCCCCGAACGGGGCGTTCCCCGCGGGGATCCCCATTAACAAGTCCAAACTGACATCCCTAGTACGTAGGCACTAGGTCTCGCGACCAAAGGCAAGCACAATAATTATAAAAAAATGCATTTTCTTTTTGTTTCTTTAATAAACGTTTCATTCATTTCCCTTTAGCAAGTTTAAGCTTTAGATAACACACTCTGATTAGAATAAACAAAGTGGATTCTGCGGAGTACCATAGATGCTTAGGGTGCTAACACCTCCCCTTTGCATAACCGACCCATGTACGTTGATCTCAATTTTATTTTGGATTTTATTCTTTTTTTTTCCATTTCCCTTTGGAAATAATAAAATGCGGGTGGCGACTTCATTGTGTGAGTTAAGTCAATTAATGACTTAGTCTTAATTTTTACTGCTACATTTTCGCATACAGTATGACATTGTGCAACATGCATTCATAGCATTTTTGGATGGTGATCCGCTATTTTGGAAGGTGTTCCGCTTATGACGAGCATGAATCCCATTGTGTGGGTTATGTGCGGTTTATGATGTGCTCTGGTTCCAAGAGGGAATCGATCCTATAGTGGGGATCTTTAGAGGGTGATGACCAAGTGTTCTTCAATGATTTGGTACCACGTGCATTTGACTAGTCGTGGTCGGATTAACATTCTATATGACATTGCATGATATCCATTGATGCGTTGTGCTATGACGATAACTGTAAAGTATGTGATTACATTATGTTTTGATGATGGAAGATGTACATGTGATTTTATGATGTAATTATGAGCATGAAGTATTGATGATTGTATGTGTTGTCATATGATGATGTTGTTGAACTACTAATTTTTTCCTTATGTCTTTTATAATAAATCGTGATTAGTCACCCTTTCTATGTGAATGTTGCCTCCACGTGGGTAATGCGCATATGGCTAGGAGTAGTTCGTAGAAGCTTAGATGATAATTTCAGAGTGATTTATTTATTTTATTTATTTTATTTATTTAGAAGGTTTCTTGTTCTGATATGTAACATCGGGCTGAGAACACCTTATTTTGCAAATATGATGTTTCTTTTATGTCATGTTGACATGTTTCCTAGAGATTTTGATTGTAGATTTGGTTTTGGTAATTGATGAGACTAATGTCATGAATTTTTGAGAAGTTAATTATGTTATATGAGAATTAATTCCAGTATGATGTTTCTAAAATGATGGGTTGATTTATAGACCGATGTATGTTCCGAAATGATGTAACCCGTGTTATGGAGCAGGATTTATTGTTATGATATTTCTATGAAGTGTGACACCCTTGAGTGGTGATTTTTATCTTGACTTATTTCATAAATTAAATGAATAATAATTGTGGGTTTGAAAGGGTGTTTCATTTTTGTTCACAATTCATCAACCAACATTCTTTGGTAGGATTAGCTTAGAAAGCAACAATGGAGCTTGCATCTGGATTATCAGAAGTAAGATTTCTCATCGATCAGAGCTGACTAATTGAAATATGTTTGGTTTTTCCTCTTCTATTCTCTTTGTAATCTCTATTTGTCGGAGTTTGTATGTAAGTTTACCTTTATTATATGTATACTTACTGCTCATGGTGTTGTATAAAACTTTTTTTATAAATCAATATGGATGATTGCTTGCTTTATTTGGGTTTGAGTTGATGCAGACATGTAGGGTTTGAATTTGGATTTAGAATGAACATCTATTAGGTTCTAGACTCTAGAAATAGATTTAAGCTTAATATTCACGTGGGTATCAGTTCTTATTGCCTCTTTGTTGTTTGAGTTGCGCACGAAATCGCCTACAAGAGAATACGGTTGTTATCTCACTATGTGTTAGGGATAACCTTTGTGTGAGAGATACATGATGATGTTTATGAGTGATTTAGGTTGAATAAAACTAAGTAATAGTTTTAAGTATTTGATAAGGTAGATGAAATCCAAACCCGGAAGAGTTCTCTCCTCTCCGGAGAATATATTTATTTTCTGTTCATAATTTACTTTTCCTCACTTAACTTAAAACCCATTCTAAACTAAGCTCAGAAACATGTAAACTGTTTAATGGCATTCATTCCCTTTCATAGATCTTTGTGGATACGATAAAATCCAGAATACTTCCAATCTTTTTCTTTCCGCTTTACTGTGTCAACAAAATGGCATCATTTCCGGGGAATGGGTGTTTTGATATTGAGCATCACAATGGCTTCTATGATTTTGAGCTTTGTAAATATCGTATTTTTTGTATATTTTGTATATTTTCACTTGTATATTTTTTTTACTTGTGTATGTTTACTACACTTATATAATTGTACATGTTTCCCTTACTTGTGTATAATGTATAATTGTTTGATTTATACTTGTTTTGTGTTATTTTCCATACTTGTGTATTTGTGTTTTCTTATTGTTCAAATATTATATATATGTGTTGTGTATCATGTTGTTCAAGTGATGTTGTATATTTTTGTGTCTTCGTAATGTTTGTTCAAGTGCTTGTTAGGACACTTGTTTTCGGTTACACGTTGAAAAAAAGCATCGGACGACAAGAGGAAGTTACGATCCAAGCACAAAGGCGTCGATCTAACAACATAAAACAAACATGTTTTTTTTTGTTTTAGTCACTTTATAGTTTTTCATTGTAGTATTTTAGGTAGTGTGGTGTACGTTGGCTAAACAAGTAGAAGTTGAACCTGTTTTAAAAGTTTGAGCAGAGTTAAGCCCTCTTAGCGTGCTCTACTGCTCCATTCTTCACTTTTTAACTTGTTTATCCATTTTTTTCTGGTCTTTTAGTATGTTTATAATAGTTTGTTTCAATGTGTTATTTTTGTGTTTTTCCAAGAGCTTGTTTTTATTAGCTTGAGAAATTTTGTATGATTGTAAAGTTATGTATATGCTAAGTAGCTGAGGTTGTGTAGGTGGTAGTGGAGTTTAGCATGAAATTACATATGTTGTTCTATTTTTCTCTATTTTCCTGCTACCGCTAAGCACACTCTATTTTTCTGCTACCGCTTAGCGCCTAGCTGTATTGCGCTAATGAATTCTTTTTGTTTCACTCGCCTTCCCTTTTCTCACTTCTACTAAGGCTATTTAGAGTTTACATAGTAATTATTTTTAACAATTTTTGTTGGTTGTTTATCATCAAACATTGTGCTAAAATCTTGAGGAAGTTTGAGGTGATTTTTCAAGTTTGATCGTTTCAACTTGCGGATGAATGGTAATGATAGTTTTTGAAGTTGGTATCATTCAAGGTACTCGTTTATCGCTTTCTATAACATAATATGATTATGAGACTTTAATTTGTATAATTACCATGCCATTCATTCTTTTTGAATTACTTGCTTTTAATTGAATCACTTTAGTTCCTTTTTACCCCCAAATGTGAGGAAGTTTTCCATTGTTCATATATGTTGAAGACCAACAATTCTTGTTTTAAAAGGATTTTTTTTATGTTATATCTTTTAGTTATGTTGATTGTATGAGAGCACGAAAATAATTAAGGCACTTTGTTTCATTTTGAGTACAACTACCTAACAAAATACTCAATTCACCATGTGAGTGTGTAAGCATTTTTTAACCCCTTTGAGCCTTTTTGTCAATGTCCATGTTGTTTTTGAACTTAATGCTTGTCTATGAGTGTTTTGTTCACCTTTTTTAATAGATATTGATTCTTTGTTTTGTTGAACCCCCAACTATGATTGATGGTTTAAATTTTCACCTTGCCTTAGAAAGTAAGAAGTATTCACACTATGGTGTTGGTTGAATTCAAGTTGGGGAGAGAAATGCTTTCTTGCTTATGTGTTGGTTGCTATGAGGTTGAGAAAAAGAAAAAGTAAAAGAAACAATGTGTGAAAAAAAGAGAAAAGTTTTGAAAAAAATAAAATATAAGTATCAAATAATTGTGCTGAATAAGTAAGGTGTTTGGTTTGACAATTTGGGAATGTAGAAAAAGCGTGACTGAAGTTTTGTGTTTGAAACTTTGGTGAGTTGATCACTCCCAT